AATCCTCCCACTTCCTATCATCTTTCGCCATCGCCTTCGGGCCACGAAGAATGTTTTTGTAAACAAAAATTCTTTTACCAAAAGTGTTTAGCTTCAATGTGGCCCAAATCACTTCAAATTAGGCCCAGACTTGTTTTAGGCCTGAAGGAAATTTCTTCTTTTTAAAAAATTTGTTAAACTTATATAAATTTTTTTTTGCACAAAAAAATTATAAATGAGTTCTACATGAGAAATTTATTTAGAAATAAATCCTGTGAAAGTATATTCAAGTCTTATGAAATTTAGTTGTAATTAATTCACCATATAAAATGGCACAAACGCCTTTAAATTGTTATTATTGACTTACATGAATTAGTGTTGACCAATCACTAATGATCGTTTATCATTGATCGGTAATCATTGACTGATTACCACTCATTGATGATTAGTTTAAAAAATAAATTTTTTATTGAATTACTTATATTTTGATATTTATAATATCGCACATTTACAAATAATTTTTTAAGATTTACATTTTTTTTGGGGCCAAGTCATGATTTACAATTTAAACCAGCTATATTTACAAGGGACCTCTTATAATATTAATAAGTTAAGATTTACAAGTTCACATATTTACAAGTTAAATATATTACGTTACAAGTCCAACTCACAAATTTATTACTTTTATTTGTAAATATTAAAGTAATATATTGCAAAAGGTTGACTTATAAATGGAAGAAGTTTTATTTATAAACCTTGAATACTTATTTATTATTGTGTGATGCTTGATTTGTAAACATTAAAGTATTAATATTTTAATAAAAATATTTTTTAAAAATTACTTTCGACGACAATGAACTCCACTAATGACCAACCAACAATCATCAATGTCAGTAAAAAAAAATGAGAGTTAAAGAAGGTATATCATTTTTATAATAAATTGATTACAATCAAATCTCACGGACCTAACATATTTTTACAAATTCACAAAACTTATTTATAAATAAATTTTTTATATAAAATATATTTGTGATTTTCTTTTTGACCTTTTCGTGAGTGCATGTGGGCGCATTGTCAAGTAAAGGTGATATTTCGGCAAATGGCCCATTATTCTTGGCGCGTGTTAAGTAAACAATCGATCTAACTTGTTAGCCCATTATTCCTTTTTATCCCTCCATTTTGAAACAAGAACATGAATATCAACATGGATCAACTCAGAAATTGCGGAATTCAAATTCAACTCATAAATACGTAACTCTAATAACAAAAGCACAAACACGGATAAAAATGACACAACATGGATAAATTTATAAACAACAATAACACGATGAAAAAACAAACTAGCAACAAAGCAATTACAACCTACTGTAATTCACGAAAATACCAACAGAACTCAATCAAAACTATATAAACCTGTACCAAAACACGAACAATAGCTAACATACAGAAAAGAAGCACAATGCCAGAAGGAGAAAGAAAGGAAGAACTCTCAGACAAATACAGAGGAATTGAAAGACCATAAAATTCTCGATACCTCATCACTATCACAATCGGCCATATGTTATGCTCTCAGCTTCAGTGGCAATTTGCAAATTGAGTTGCTCCTTCGCACCCCAACTTCCTCATTGTCCTCTCTGACAAGAAGACTTAAAATCACACGCACTCCTTTTTAATGCTTTGAGGTACGAAATCCATCTTTAAATTTAATTATTGGGGGAAAAAAAGCATTTTAAAAAATCCCCACGTGATCTTTCACTGTTTAAGACTCGAGTTCAAGGGGCATCATGTTGGTTGGCTTGAGTTCTACACAGTCACTCACTGTATGTGATGAAGCATAAGCCAGATAAAAGAATGTACTGTTGTAATATACAACAGAACTGGCTAGCGAGCAAAGTAGGCATTAGAGTAGAAAAAAGTAGAGGCAGACAGGATATTTTACTGTCAGCCGCTACTAGTCAATAAAATAACAATATTTCCTTAATCTATAAGGAAAAAGCACATCAAATGACTCAGCATTTAACATGTTTTATAGATGATCCAGCAAGACAAGTCAACCGTGATTTCGTATTAGCCTCGGCCAATGGATTCGGCTTCCCTCGAGTAGCCATGCGATCATCCCAGACGCGTATGTCTCCATCAGATGAAGCAGTTGCCACCAGGTGAGGGTCATCGCCGTTGCTGGCACTACCATGCTTAGTGAGCACAACAATTCCTTTTACTCGAGATTTATGAGCATCTTCAATACAATATGCAACCTTCCCACTGTTTGTATCCCATGCTGTAATATTGCGGTCCTCACCACCAATATATAAAAGACCATTCTGTCAAATACAGAATCACTTCAAAGCATTAAATACTGTAAAGCAATGAAATAAAATTCAAGGTTTATAATTTAAACACAACCACAGTACACAACACAACACAATGCTATATTTACACATTCCCAATAAACCCTCCCCCTAAAAATGGAAAAAAAAATGGATTTTTTTTTTTTTGGTAGGTTTATTCCTGAATACAGCATCGTACATAATGAAGCTAACTTCACCACCAAGGCTATCAAACAATTAGAAAGCAACCCAACTTCAGTCATTTGTAGCTGTTTTCTTTAAGAAAAACTTGCTCAGTAGCCAATATACTCGCTTTGAAAAAAAAAGAATTCATATGGTTTATAGGACAATTTGCAAGCACCAAGTAGATTTCCATTAACTCGATACAAATGTACTATTTTTTTTTTAATGATAAAACGTGAGATAACAGCAGTTTCTCTTGATATTACTAACATTTCCAATGCCTCATATATGAAGCGTGCACTGTGCAATCAGACAGTATAGGAATCTAGAGGAATAAGAATTCAATCTCTGGGCAACATGTCATATCAAAAAGATCACATCCCGAGTCAACACAGTAAATTGTCTTCACATGAAATATTACAAAGACAGGGCCATTGTTAGCCTGCATTCCATTCTGAAATAACAAGAAGGACATTCAACTCTACAAGTTATAAAGACGTCCAACTATTGCCGCGTCATATTGACAGGACAGAATAGCATGTCCAACTTCCAATTTCCATGGTTTAATTTGCCACATAGACGTGATATGCCCTTGACAAAAAAATTTGAAGATTAAAACAAATGCTTCTTCCTATTAAGGATTAAAAACTACATCCTGCAGTCCATCTATGTCATCCACCTGCAATATTCCTCCGAAGTTTAAGTTTATCAAGTCCAAAAGTAGTGAGATTTTGATACTATGTAGTACGTACACTATCTAAATCAATGTCAAAAACCAAAACCCAAAGCTAACTAAGTAATATGAAAGACACAAGGTCTATCCACATCAAATGAAGTCAAAATATTTGCACCAGAGAGCATTTACGCATCCGGTTGAGACAATGCTTTGGATTGTTCTCAAAATCTTAAAAAGTAAGACGCTTTCTTCGTCCATATCAATTACTTGATTGTACAATTAATACAGCAACACGCATCCAATAAATGAAAAATTTTGAATAAGAAGTACAGAGCAAAAGAGATGCACACTATCCCAGTTCCAAAATACATGTAAAAAGGAGTGGGAACGCATGAACGTGGAAACTAACCTCACCAGGCTCGACACACAGAATCCGCTTCTGGTTCTGGAATTCCAACAACAACCGAGCATCCTCAGCCTCGTGGACCGACACCTTCTCTTCCATGGCCATAGTGAACTTATCGCCAGTCAAATCAAACTTCACCAGGCTAGCTTCTCTTCCCAACCTACAGCAAAAGCTCCTTCTTCCCCTCACCAAATTCAGCATGGCTAAGCACTCATCCCGACCAACTGTCAATGCTAACTTACCCGAGGGATGCAGGGCGAGATCGTTAACATCTTTCTTGTGGGCAGATATGGTCTTCAGGTGAACGAAGGAATCAGCATCATAGATGCAAACGGCTCCGTCAGCGGCGGCGGAGATGAGATTGCGAGGAAAGTTGAGGTGCGGAGGAGTATAAAATGAAAGGGCGGTGATGGTGCCGGTGTGTTCGTGAAGAGAACCAAGGGAAGAGGAATCATTGAGATTGTATATATGGATGGTGTCGTCGGTACCGCCGGAGGCAACAACGGGACCGGAGACTGCAACGGCTTTGATCTGGGAGAGATGAGAGGGGTACGAGAATAGAGGAGCTAGGGATAGGGTTTCATCTGAATTGTGGGCAGGCTTGAGCTTGAATCCCCATATGAATCTCTCATATGAACCTGCCACCAAACTCATCGTCAGGATGATGAAAAACCCCACAAAAGCCCTAGGAAATATGGTTCTGGGTTGATTGGTTATATATTACAGCGGATGCCGCTATTTTCAAGTGGAGGGGCTAAAACGTGAAATGGACAAGAATTGGGGTCAATTTTATATAAACACTAGCGAGAATTTTATCAAAAACACAAGTGGAGAGACTAAAAAGCAACAAAATTGCAGTTTAGGGTTTCAACGTGTTAAACATGAATAAATTAAAATTTAATTTAATGCGCTAAGCATAAATTATAGGAAAAATGATAAAAAAATTATTTAAATTATGTAAATGATATATTAGTCCCACAAAATAATATAATTTATCTACATTCTTAAGATTAAAAAATTATAAGAAATGACACTTTTATCCTTTATTTAAATTAAAAAATTTTGTAACTTTTGTTCATATATTAATAACTTTTGTTTTTAAATTCATAATAATTTAATAACTATTCACAAGTCTTAATCTACAGGTCCTGATATATATCATGTGCTAAAAATTCATAACTTTTCATTCACAATTTTTATTCATATAGTAACAGCTTTTGTTTCTAGATTCGCAACAATTTAATAGCTATTAACAGGTCTTGATATACCTTAGGTGTTGAAAATTCACAACTCTTCATTCACAACTTTTATTTTTACATTAACAATTTTTGTTTCTAAATTCGTAACAGTTCAATAGTCATTTGCAATTCCACATATACAGGTCTTAATATGCATCAAGTGTTAAAAATTCGTAACTTTTCATTCACAACTTTTATTCTTATATTAATAACTTTTGTCCCTAAATTCACAATAATGCAACAAGAAATTATAATTTATCAATACCCTCTATAAATTAACTAAATCAGCAAAAATAAATTACCACCCTAATCCAAGAAATAATAAATTTTATTAATTTAAATGATAAGAACACTTTAAAAAGTGACAACTATATGAGGTTTTATTATCAATTATATGATCTTCAACTTGCATCAAAATACTCTACAACCCTTTTAACAAAAATATGTGAAAAATTGAATCTTCCAGTGTCATCCTTTCTTTTATCATTTTCACTCTCACACTTCCCCTATCATATTGTATTTTACTTTCAATATTTTTACAAACTGTCCCCATATGTGAAAATTACAAAATAGTTCCTTTTCAAAACTAAAAGCAGAAGAAGCTATTTCTCATGCCAACCTGAAATAATGAAATAGTCATTCATCAACATATCTATTTTTTAAACATCATAATCACATATTTGTTATGTTTTATCCAACAATAACTATTGTTCTTGCACTCATAACTTTCTATTTGTTATTCACAACTTTTAGTTTATGCTTTTACAATATAACTAAAAATGACATATTTTTTATCATTTATCTATGCTAAGTAAGCATTAATGCTCACATCTTTGAGCTTTAAGCATGAAGAGAAAATGAAGACATCGATCGTTTATGCACAATAACCCACATTAACTTCAACTATCACATATGGAAAGAGAAAATTTTAAGGAGGAGAGAAAATTTACCCACGTATAGTAGGTGCAACAAAGGAAGAATGTTTGTTGATATATACCCATATACGGCAGCCAAACAAAACAAACAACCTATGTATGTAAACTACAAAAAAGGAAAACGAGAACAAGAAGGAGAAGGATATAGAGAAGGAGAGGGAGACGAACCAGAAGAATACCACGAAACAAAGAAGAAGATGAGAATATGAAAAAGATGAAGTAGAGCTTAAATGCGCACGAATTTTTCTTCAGTGAGGATTAGAATTTTTGTTTACTTTAAGGGCAGTTTAGTCATTTCATTTGATTCCCTGATGACAAAAGAATCCTAAGGGATTTTAAGAGAATTATACCATTCCAAAAGACTAATATATCAATTAGATAATTTAAATGAATTTTTCTATTATTTTTCCTAAATTATAGTTTTCATAATTATTGTATATCAAAAAAATTAGTTTTTATGAAGATAAAAAAAATATAATATGAATGAACTAAGGCAAAAGAACTATGGAAATGAATCACAAAAAGAGAGTTAGGAAGGGAAAAAAAGAATAATTTTCATTCATACAAAACATATATAGTGGGTTTAATAAGGAAAAGGATCAAGTTAACCCTTACAAACAACTCGATGCCTTGTCTCCCTTCAACCTTTTAAGTAAAATGTGACAAGAGGAAAGAAAATTCATGGATAGACCCCATTAACTCCACCCTATAGGAACTACAAGATCACCCTAATGATGCATCTTGGCATCCAGGGGTTAAGGACCAACCATAAAAATCCTATTTAATAAGCAAAACGCATTAACTGTTTGCTCTTAGGTTAGACAACAAGGGTTGAAAAGGGGTAATTACTCATTCTTAAAATTAACATTCCTAATATCAAATAGTTAGGAGGGAAAGTGGGGAAAGCTATCTATTCCTAGTTCTTCTATAGTTGGATCCTCCGAAACTACAAAAATCTTTAGTTAAAATGGGATTCTAACTCAACACTTTTGAGATTTTGAAAAGAGTTGCTATTTACACAACATTTACTTGTAACCTTCCAACCTCATTCAAGATTTAATAACAAAATTAATTCACATAAATACAATATACATAACATTTGAATTATATTCATTACAAGTATTAAATATAACAAACTCTTAAAATAATTCAAGACATTTATAATCTAATATTTATAACATTTTCAAAAATGATTGGTTGTGACAATAATTTCATATTTTAAATGGTCATATGTCATTGAATTGTATGCTATTAAAATCCATGTTTTGAAAATTACACATGAAACTACACTTTATTTTTAAGATTAATTGGGTCAACCCTAATTGAATTGGTAATTATTAAATTAAATTGATTTGTAGAAAACTTCAATAAATGTTTAGCTTGAAGTTCTATATAAATTCCTCACATAAAGCACTCATTTTGAGCCTAACGTCATAGGGTAATAATGCTTTTATTAAAAAGCTAACTCATTCACTTACATATACAAGACCTTCCTAAGTCTCTTTAACATGGGATGTAACAATTTCCTTGACCAATTTGTGATGTGCCTCTCACAAGTGGTCTATTGGAAAGGCTCACTAAGTTGGCAAACTTAGGTCTGACTATAATGTCATTTTGTTATGGAGCTACTATAATCTTTTCAAAAAGCTAATTTAGTGGGGTACACAGCGTACCTGCTTGTATACCCAAGAGTCTTCCCAAATTTCTTCGAAGTGGGCTGTAACACTAAGGTAAGATCAAAATCTCACAAAAACCATAGGAATAACACACGCACGCACATGTTGTTGTAAAGAAGTAGAAGGATTTTAATTAAAGAAAGGCTAGTGACAGATGCAGGGTGTTAATGTAGAAAAATGGTCTTGGACAATAATTGCTCAGTCTATAATAACTTAGTGGAAGATCTTAAGATTTTGAATGCATGATAGTTTAGTTGTTTTGTTGACTTTATAGGTCTTATTTCTTCTTTGTATACTCTGTACACTATTTACCAATGAAATTTTCACTTCATCTTATCTTTTCTTACTACTTTGTAAAGTATATTATTTTATTTCTCATCTACAATTTGTTTTTCTTGATAAAAAGGCAAATATATTAACAAAAAGAAAACAAAGTCTACAAAGTAAGTGTTAAAATAGGTATGTTAAAATAACCAAAGAAAGTAAAAAAAAAAAAGCAAAACATCGAGATCACATTTTTGAAGAGTATAAGCATTAAAGTCTTGCAAGAGCTTTAAGATGTCCTAATCTATGAGATGCTGTCGATTAGAGCAGAGGCAAACCCTTTTATTATGTATAATTTTAAATTTTCTAAGCTCACTTGATCTTCAAAATGTTTCAAAGAGAAATTTTTAATCCGAATTGATATACTATAAATATAAAAGGTAATAAGAGCTGTAGGGAGATAGCTTTCATATCTAAAAAATGCTCATTTACATTTGAATGAATAATAAAATGATACTTTTATTTATTTTTTAAAATATTTACATATAGAAAAGACATGTGGAGCCCGTTGTAAGAAGATAGGCACCAGTTTCATAGTGAAAAAAATAATGATAAATAAGAGATCCATAAAAAAAATGATAGGTACAATATGCTCGAGGCCTTTTATTCGTTGCTTTGAAATAGCAATGAATATGAGATTTATATTTTATTGCCTGTATTTTATGTGTATGTATAATATAATAGATTATAAAATAAATTGTAAAGTTAATAACAAATCATAAAGTAGTACATGATTTATTATGGTACATGTTTCATTTTTCTTACAATGATACATGAGAAAAATTATGAAAGAGCATAAGATAAAGGAAAATCTCACTTATGGCTACAATAATACAAAATTTTACATTTAAGGCTCAATACAATTTGAAAACTCTCTATGGGCCTAAGAGCATTAAGCGGAAATATGTTTTAACAAAAAAAAAAAACTTTTGCCCTTGGATATTTTGTTGTTAATTGTAAGATATTGTGTTAAGAAATTATGAATATTATATTGTGCATTCATAAATATTCTGTTGTTCTTTCACTATGTGTAACTTGTACATTTCAAGTCAAAACATTTTCACTAGATTAATTGTACATTACATGACATTGTGTTGGGATTTTATAAATATTATGTTGTGCATTTATAGACATTTATTGCTCTTTCATCCAACGCAATTTGTACATTTCAAGTTAAACTATTTTCACTAAATCAATTGTACATCACAGAATGTTGTATTGAGATTTTATGAATATTATGTTGTGCATTTATAGAAAAAGGGAGGGCAAATGTGTTTATTTTGGTTAAAATATATTTCTACTCATGACCCTTAAGCTTGCAAAGAGGTTTTAGATTGTGTTGAGCCCTAAATGTAACTTTATGCACTTGAGAGTCCTAATTAAGGTTCTCTTATAAGATAATTACAATTTAGCTTACATGAGATAAGAAATTTTAAAAATAATAATTTTTTAATATGTAAAAGAATAACAAACTGCAAAATAAATGTGTATGTTTAAATTTTAATTTATATGGGGAAATGAATGATGGTTC